TGCGTTGATTTCGACGCTAAATGTAATAACGCAAAATGTAATAATCCATGTTTATTACATTTCGCGTTGTTATTACATTTCGCGTTGTAACAAGGGTTGATGAGCCTTAAAATATAGATATATTTTCTACCCATCCAATGACCTTTCCTATTTTTCCAGCATATATATTAATCAAATTTATTTCAATAATTAGAAAATGAAAAAAAAAATCAATGAATTTTTAGAAATAATTATAATAACAAAAAATTTAAATAATAAAAAGAAAATAATTAAAAATAGAATAAAATATATTGCAATTAATACCATTTTATATAATTATGAATATGGCAATTTATTTTCTTAATATTTAAAATACACGTACATGTACATGTATATAGCCGCCCATTGACTGTTTCAGTAATTAGACAAAAATAGAATGACTTTCTCCGTTAATTATCGTCTAAATACACCCGACAAGTTATAACATCTGCTATAATCAACCAAACCACACATTCAGTGGCAAAAAAGTGTCTAAATTTGAGAAAAATCAATACACCATTGCACGTGGGGAATTATTAGTGTTAAGATTTACACGTGAAACCAGAAAAAGTCTTAACACTGGTTAATTATGTAGAAGATACCACGGCTTGCTCTATCAATATCTGAAGGCAATACTTCTGGCTTGGTACAGGTGAAATATTGTACACTCGTACATTTGTTTTTGTTTGGATTTGATTTGTTCAATATCGTCGCAATTTAATTAGCTAAGAATTTTAAAGAACTTGTGGTTCTAATATATATATATGAATGTGTACAATTCTTGGTCCAAAAATTAACACGACATGGTATTTTCTAATACATTAAATGACCTAAAATTTGTCTTTTATATATATATATATATATTTATACGTTTACAAAACACAAATATACATACTATTTGAAAAAGGCCTCGCTAACCCTCAAAGCATACTAAAGCGCTTCATGTTATGTAACTTTTGTACTTAGAACAAACAAATGTAAATGTATGATATCGATATATGTACACACATCGAACAGATTTTGTGTTCAGTGTCAAAATACGTGTGGTCTTTATATAAATAGTGATTCAAAATTTGGGCTAGCTAGTTGCATTTGTAGAGTTCAATGCAAGGTTTATTGGGAATGGACTCAAAAACATTTCATACACATATTGTACTTGTAACTGTTGGTATGTAACGAATAAACGAACGTCATTTGATTAAACTTGTGTTAGCTATTAACTTAATATTATAGTGGCTCTGAATTTCAGAATTTGCCCTACCTTTTCCAGGAAGCGTTCAAGATCCCATGATGAAATGATGGTAACTCTTTACATGGATGGAAACCTTCCCCACAATCCCAAAAAGGAAACTTAGATTTATAGAGAAAAAACACTCAAAAAGTATTCTGCTTGATTCACTTCAAAACAACCCAAAAGAACGTTGAGTAAAATTGTTCGTGTTAAAATTCACAACTTCGCAAAATGGCAGTTTATAAAACCGGAAGCGTATGGTGAAAGCAGACGATAATAAGGAACTTCCAATAGTTTGATTGATTGAAACTTACAAGAAACATTTCATCGGAATCGGCTTCTCGCATCGGTTAGCACTTCCAACGAGAAAATTTTATAATATCGATCTCGGCTTCACTATTTAAAGAAGAATAACGGCTCCATGTCTTCTCGGCTTCATTGTGTATCCGCGTTAGCTGTGTATCATAAACGTATACCCTACCGGGAATTCAGAAGAAAATATCGCTTATAAAAAGACATTAATATCTACCAGCAGCACAAGAGAGAAAGAAATAAGACAAGGATTAGTTTTTTTTTTTTTTTAATCTTTTCTCTCCGAGAAGACGGGAAAAAAAGGCGGGCACCGTTTGTAACATGCAACAGACGTCAAACATTTCATTGAAGAAACATCCGCCTGGGGTTTAGACCTATAGTTCACGATCTCTAAACCCGGTCTTTGATCATAGGCTTCATAATAAACGTACATGGAATAATTACATAATTTTTTGGATTTCTTATCAAAGCTCTACCCATGTGGCTTTTCAATGACATGCATTTATGGAATGCATTTTGAAAGAAACCTGTCAAAGTTGAGAATGCTAATATTTCGAGTTTACCGATTTTTAGACAGTATCATTAGCCGATGATAATTAATTAGAGCTTATATTGACGCAAATTTGATCATCTAAGTCTGGTTTTCCGACGTGAACACAAATAGAAGCCTCTGTCCGTGGAAGATTCAGAAGAATAAGATGCATGCACTTTTTTGTTTTTCTAAATATTTATTAAGTATAGTGTTCCATTAAAATAATTTAATTAAGTGCTATGTGTGGATAAAATGACCAAAAGAGGTTAAACTGCAGATTGCTAATTGTGCATATTATGCATGTTGATGTACAACATGTTCAAGCGTCAAAGAAAATTCAAACTGTCGAAAAGAAGCGTTGCGAACTACCGATATTCCAATTATAATAATTAAAAATGATGATCAGCATTTTTATGTTATTGATTATATATATTTGAAGAGAAACAGAAATATTTCGTTTGATTGAGTTCATTTTTTCTCCAAATATTGCTTGCTCATAAAGAAAGACAACTCTTACATGCAACTGTACCGATCTCCAGGCAACTCAGTATTATGTTACGCTTAAACTTCGTATCCTAGCAATCGCAAAAAAAATATAATTTCGGAATGTTTCAAAAAAGCCCCGTGAATGAGTAGAGAATTTCCACGTCAGTGCAAACACGACAGCCAGAAAAGGGGGGGGGGGGGTAAATAGGGTGGGGAATAATTCTTAACTAATGTCTTAAACTTTGAAATTTGACAAAAAATAATTTTACAATTGTTTTCTTTTAACTTTTTGCGAAAATTCATGCCATCAAATAATGTTTAACTACTAAATATCAAGGAAAACACGCATCTAGATCCCAAAACATATCGGTTCATTGTAATTGATCTCGAAACTTCACACGCCTTCTTCCCAAATCTCTTTTGTTTAAAAGATGATAAAATGAATGGAAAACTTAACAAATCTAACAGTTTCACCAGTATTAATCTCTTCGACATTTTCAGTGATCTTGAAAGTATCAGATGATTAGCGCTGCCCTACTCGTGTAATGTAATTTTATTTGCCCTGTTTTACACCCAATACTTTTATAAACACAGTTAATGATCCGTTCACAAACAGGTATAGTGAGAAAATACAATTGAACTTTAAAATCGTTACATAGCAATTTGCAAGCGTTTAATGAAATGTAAATTTTCTATTTTTATTCACTGAGAATCAATAAACTAAATCTTTTTTTTAATTCATTAATAAATAATTGTTGATTTGACAGTGGCATATTCTCCAGTGTCAGCATTTGATAATTATTTAAGGTCCTTAATTAGCACTGGTTCTCTGCCCTTGATTCCAGTCACTACCGCTAGGAATTACAAGGTTGGTTTTTCAGGGCACTTGCGCCCGCATACAATATCAAAGAACCAGTCATATCCTTATTTCACAAGCTAAAACCTGGGCATAAGGAATTTTTTTCAACACATTCATGAACAATAATTTAGCATTAGAACGTTTTTCTCTATTAATTAAATTATAGATAAAAATTTACGAGACAGCATGCATTCACATTTTTAGTCCGCTGCTTCTATTTTGCCTTTAGATCCTTAGGTGCGTGCTTTGTTCATGCAATATATTTAAAAATTAAAAAATGATAAAGATCTATACATCTGCTTACAAGTAAATTAAAAATATATAAGGTATAAAAATTGTGGTACAATTTACATTTTTGTTGAAATATTAATAAAAGGCCTGTAGTAAGTAGGGAAGCAGAGGTGAGGGTGTGTATAAGAAGATTTTTTTTTGGGGGGGGGGGGGGTACTTTATATTCATTCGTTATGCTGCATGCCCCCCTTCCCCGCCCTCATATATTTTGTTTATTTATACTGAAACGCAAAAGAAACGCATCAAGTAGTAATTATCAAATATTTGCCTTTCACAACAATTTCATTGTCTAGGTAATTGCGTTTCTTCTGCGTTTCAGTATTCTTGATATTCAACATAGAATTAATCTCAAGTCATTTACATAAGGAGAAAAGTTCAAAGAGGATATCGAACAGAAATTATTTTAGAGTATAAGGACATGCAAATAAAGTGTTCATTTCAATCTTGACCCAGGGTCCTTCGGATGAAACTTTAAAAACCGAGGTCCCGTGTCACGGTAGGCGTTGGCACGATAAATACAACCCTCACTGCTCAATGGCCCTGAGTTCCGAGTATAGGTCAAAACTTGAAGCCCTTCACCGGTATATGGTGACGTCTCTTCATGAGTGAAAAATTCTCAAATGGCACGTAAAACAACAATCAATCAATCAATCAATCAATCAATCAATCAATATTGACCTCATAAATTTCAAAAATATTTAGACTCATTTCAAATTTAGATGTGCTGTTGAGGGGTAAATCACCCTAATGTTGCATTGCATCCTCGCCGTCGTTTGCTAGTATGCAAAGAAAGATAACTCTGTTCAAAGCATTCTCATATCTTGGTATTATACTTTCATAAGGCCACATATAGACAAAGTTTTGATTACTGTATTGATCCCGAATGTGCAAACTTTCGAGAAATAAATTAAATGATTGATTGTAAATGATAACGTCGTTAATTATTTTTAATGTCAATATGAAATTCTTAAAATTAATTTTGATCTGAGTATTATAACAAAATCATATCTTTCATTTAAGCATCGTATAACAGTGTAGTAAAAAAAAAAAAAGAAGCAATTTTTTTTTATCCAAGCATTCATAAATGTATGATATTTTATTGGTCAAAATAATGTTCCTTGATTTACATTGTTTTTAGCGAGGAATGCATCCCTATTGCTTCATATTTTAACCTGAAAACATTCCATGCTTGCGGCTGCCGCTCAGTGCACTTTCTGCAACAGCATGGCACGACAGGGGTTTTATCAAGTTCTAAATATAGAACATCATCAGCATCAAACTCTTGTATATATTACAATGAAAACAAAAACATTCTCAAACTTCTACGATCAACACACCAAGCTGCCTTCTCAATGAACGCGCGGCCACTTCCTCGAAGCCTGGCAGACGTTCACAGATAAAAAGCTCCAACAAATTATATTTGTACCAAAAAATCTGGATAGATATATATTTCATCTTCCGGTCGTCTGCGTACATTGGAGAAGTTCACTCTATGCGATGATGTAGGTTTCTTCGCCAGATGTCGGAAAATTTCATCATGGAGGTCGGAAATACGTAAAACGCGACAACACAAAGGTTTGAGTCTTTTTACATATCAATCTCTTTGATGTAAGTTTTTTCAGTTGCATTAAAAGTGTATATTTGTTTATGTTATGTGCTTGCAAAAAATACCCAACTGCAAAATTCCTTAAAGTTTGAGGATTCTTATCAAGGCGCTATCTTATTCCCAACACGTGGCATTCTTAATGGGAAGAGGGTCAGCTGAATTAGGCGGCTCAATACCTATATTTCGTTAAAGAAATAAATAAAGTGCAAAAATTTGAAAATGGAAACAATAGACATTTACTTGAAAAAAGAAATTCATCACTGTCCCTTGTCTTGTCATACTTCTATAGGCATATAGTATCCAGAATGGAGAAAAGGGAATAGACTTTAACTTGCAAGCCATACTTTAGTATCATATATGTATAATCTGGATAAAGTTTTCTTCAAAAGAAAAATCAGAAATCTTGCCATATCTGCATTTGCGAAAAAAAATATTTAATTATATTTATGTAGAATGTTAATTAGGATATACAGAGAAATGACCATTATGAAATCTGTATCTATAAAGGGCGAGGATGTGAACAAAATGCTCAAAACTTTCATGAACGTAACAAAAATAACACATCAATTTCTAAATAATTAATCCTTGTTTTATTAATTTATCAAAAGAATCAAACTAGTTAGCAGTAGATTAGCAGTAGTTTCAAATAAAATCTGCAACATGACGTCATGTTGCAGATTTTATTTGAAAAATAAAATTTGTCAGAAAGGACAGTGGGAAATACATTTTTTGAAGTAAAAAATACAACTCTAGCTAGATAAATACAACTACATGTACCTACATATATATGTAATACTATATAACCCTCCACCAGCCCCCACCCCGAACCGCACCCCCAGAAGAAACTGAGAGCAAATAACTATTTTTATTAATATATATTTTTAGATGTGGCCTAGATAACGGATTGTTCATATTTGCATGGAACAAATGCGTGGATCTGAGTCATTCCGTATGCATGTGTCTAACATGTCTGTTGTCATTTCGACTCATGATGTGTTCTGATCTAATTTATCAGACAGGCGGATCAAAACTAATGACGGGTTGTCATTCTCTCTTCTATTTCCCTCGACCTGTTTACGAGCCGGCAGAGAATTTGGCACCTGATAATTAAATAATTCCGTCTTAACATTCTTTATTATGTTAAATATTCTCAGCGTATATACTAGAAAGTTAGGCAGTCTAAACTCTATATATTACTTATAAATTAAATACGCAAGCATATATAAACCTTTTATTTTTTCAAATTAAGAACGTACTCATAATTTACATAGAAGTAAAGTTCTACAATTACATGTAACATGGATTGAATGGCAGACGAAAATGCCATAAATTAGTTCTTTTAAATTAAACATCGTTTAAATCAATTGATGATGTTTATTGTTCAAACACACTTTTAAAAGAAGCTAAATTTTGAAATTTACTAGTATTACAGAAAAAGTATCAAAAAATATTAGAATGACACGGTAAGAAATTTCAGATCTATGCAACATGTAGAAGTATGGGTTATAGAATTCTCCCAAATGTGAATGAATACATATTGACAACACTTTGTGTAGATTATCCACCCAACCAACTGTGTATACTTTTCTTGGAACCACTTCAGTGATCAAAGGATGTCATACATTGTGTGTCACCGCCCACGCCAATCAACAAAAGCACATGTACGTCAGACTGAAGTCAGTTTCTATCTTGTCTGCTTCTATGAGTGAACAGGAATTTATAGTACAAACGAATGAACCCTTACTTTGAACTTTAAAGCTCATTTAGTTTTTGATGAATGTATATCATCTATTACTAAATGCAACATTATAACATTATACTAATCAAGACTTTCAAAATTAACAAAAAAAAAAAAAAACAAAACAAAATTTAAGAAAATGGGCTGAAAATTTACTATTAAGGTATAGATCCTTTCTAGATACAATGTTATTGCGGTACTCCTCTTTTGTAGGGCAAATTAATTAACGTTTGGCGAAATTTTTGTGGATAGATAATTAAATGACGTACATGTATATTAAACAATTGCTTTTACGTCATATTTACCAAACTATTTATATCTATTTTGCCTTGCAAAAGAAGAGTACTGCAGTTTTAAATCGTGAAAGAGTTTATTATAATATTTCTTGATTTAAAAAAGGCAAGAAGGAAAAACCCAGCATTTATAGCATTCAGGAAGCAGTGATAAACAATTGCAAAGGGAGGTGTACAATGCTCAATGCTAATTGCCATGGCTAGTAAAATTGTTTTCAATTTAATCTTTTAATATGATTTCGTGTGAAATTTTGTTTGAAATTATTTTGTTCATTTATTTTAGATTTTCCATGAAATAACTTCACTCTAACTTCGTTTTGGATTTCTTTAACATCTCTACAATGCAAATGTTATTACCCAAAGTGTAAGTATACGTTTATCGTGTACAATATAATTACATGCATATAAAAAATACGGACCTTTTCTATACATAGTTTTTGAAAAAAAAACGTATAATATATAGGCTTGGGACAAACAGTTAAAAGTCAAGACATTTAAAAAATTCTTATGATCTTTATATGATTTTTTTCAGAAAACAATAAGTAACTGCAGAAATTAAAATGGCTGAACACGCCACGTATGCCGCAAATCGTATAGAGGAGCTTCTCAGGTGTGCCATTTGTCTAGACAGGTACAACAACCCCAAACTGTTGCCATGTCAACATACATTCTGTGAATCCCCTTGCCTAGAAGGTTTGGTAAGGGGCCTTACAAGAACGCTGAAATGTCCCGAATGCCGTGCGGAACACATCGTGCCTTATCAAGGAGTCTCCGCTTACCCCAACAATTTAACAATTCAAAACTTTCTCTCTCTTCGTCCAACTAGTGACGTCAGCCATGACGTAGTCGCTCCACCCAGCGCAAACGAGGCAAGCGGAAATGACGATTTCTTTTATATTCCTAATGGAGCATGCTGCGCAGCAGAAGATATAGAAGAGGAGGAAGAAGAGGAGGTGGTCTTGCCAAGGTACCCTAGACTTCAAAACCGTATCTCCCATGCTCCACAAGCACCGAGAAGACGCTGTCCCGCCTGTTCAAGAGAGGTGGATCTAATGAGGTGTTCTCACTGCGATCAATTGATTTGTGCAACATGTAAGAGCCTTCACATGGAACAAATACAGCGTGAAGTCTCCCTTGTCTTAGGACAACTCAAAAGAGGGGTACCAAGACTGACGGACATCGCTGGCAATCTTGAACGTAAAATGGAGGCGGTGCGCCAAAGAGTTGATTCCACGAAATCAGATATATCTGAAGCCATTGAGCGCTATATCATCGATTTAAGATCAAGGCAAAGATTGCTTAGTAATGAAGCGGAAACCTTCCTTCAGGCAGAAATACGATCTTTAACACTGCAAAAAGACAACATAGAGGTGGAACTGGCTATGCTAGCATCCTTTGTTGACACAAACGAAACGCTTTTCAGGAGACGGTACCTTGTTCTTCCCGATGATGATGTGATGGATTTGAAACGACAAAGTGAACTCCACTTAGAAAGGCTTCGAAGCTTTAACGCTGATAGATATCAGCCACCAAGAGAGAGATCCATAGAATTTATAATGGATGGAACGCGGATTTCGAACTGTATTTCAAATTTCGGTGAAATAAGCACAACACAAGCAAGATTTTCGACAACAGATGAGTCTTCTGCCGACTCTTCCTCGGATAATTCTTCTTCAGCCGTTTCTCGTGCACCAACACAAAACATAACACATAGTTACCTACCCTCAACTTCAGCACATACTCCAACCAGTAACCTACCCTCAACTTCACCTCACACTACATCTTATCTACCCTCAACAACAGCACAAACCGGTCTTTACTCTCGGTACTCAACTTCACAAGCTTCAAGTTACGTTCCTTTGCATTCAATGCTCCCAACACTCGTTTACCCTCGGCACTCAACGTCACAAGCAGACAATACTTATGTATCTCCGTCATATACGCTTAATGCTTCTGCTGCTGCGTCTCATTTAACATCACAAGCTGCCTCTAATCACAGTCTTCCTCAGTCAACTACTCCCCACTCGAGCTCTACAGGTCAACAACAACAACCACTTCTGTTGGACGGTGATCTCCCAGTCATCATAAACGAAGACAACTTACCAGACCAGTACTCAGAGCCTCCGATGTTTGACCTGGAATATTCCCCGATATCAACTCCTATCTCAATTCCAGATGAGCCTGTATTTTTCGATTCTTCATCTGGACATGCACGGTCGTCAACTGGCATCGGTGTAGCTGACCTGTCAGGTCCATTAGGAACGAGATATTCTCAGTCATCTAGATACGCACGAGATTCCACCTACCCTACCTGGAGTACCTTACCATCGTCTGCTTCGAGGACATTAACATCCTCTTTACCATATTCTGTTGCAGGTTCAAATGTACCTTCGACTTACATGGCAGCCTCTAACACTTGGGGTACTCCGCATTACACGTTTATGAGGGACTTTGATAGCGAATCTGAAACAAGTAGCGAAGGAACCCGCTCTCCGAGGCGGCCAATGACACTGCACGAGAGAAGGCGACACAATTTGTCGGACACAAGATTAGCCACCCTGTTAGGAAGCTCGGCACCGTCCTATACGGGTCACCATCCTCTATCTGCATCCGAGAGGAGATTCAGAAGTCTAAGTACCGGTGCTTCATATTACAGTCTTAACGAAGCACGTGCATTAATTGCCTCCACCAGGCAAGCAACGGCAAACCGTATCAGATCTATTGCTGAAGAAGCAAACGATTCGTCTGCTTCTCGACATAGAACGGACAGTAGAGACAGTCCTGATGAACGGAACAGTAGTCCTACCAGAGTTAGGTCCCTTAGCTCCAGTCCACGGTCTCGTCCTCCTGTACGATTTAATATTCACATCGACAACGACGATGACGATTCAGATTCGTCAACTTCCGGTGAGCTGCTGCTTTCTCGACCGATGGTGACGTTTTATGAAAATGAAAGCACAGTTGTTTCCAGCTCCATCATTCAGTATACCAACAAAGGCCGAGCCGTACGTCAGATTGGACAACGTGGTAACGACCTCGGGGAGTTTACATGGCCAAGAGGGATTGCCACTACACCCAGAGAGAACCACATCCTAGTAGCAGACAGTCACAACAACCGAATGCAAGTCTTCGACAACACAGGACAGTTTGTCAGATCTGTAGGTAACTATGGAACCGAAAACGGGGAATTCGATTCCGTAACAGGAATTGCAGTCAATAGTTTTGGGCAAATTGTTGTTACGGACCGCATGAACCATCGAATTCAAATCTTTGACCACAACTGGAACTTTCAGCTGACGTTTGGTGAGGAGGGGGTGGAGGCCGGACAACTTCTGTATCCCTGGGGAGTAGCTAGTGATAACATGGGATTTATTTACGTGTGTGACAAAGAAAACCACCGAATACAAGTGTTCCAGTCTAACGGTCGCTTTGTTCGTGAGTTTGGAAGTATGGGTCACAGACTAGGTCATTTCGACAACCCGCATTATCTTGCGATCAGCCCTGACAATCGAGTGTACGTTTCAGATAGTAACAACCACAGGATTCAGGTCTTCAGTATGTACGGTGACTTCCTGTTCTCTTTCGGTTCACACGGAACATGCCAGGGAGAAATGAAACTTCCGAAAGGTATAGCTATAGACAGTCAGGGGTTTGTTCTCGTGGCCGACAGCGGAAATAACCGAATACAAGTATTTCACGGCGATGGAAGGTTCTACTGTATGTTTGGAAGCTATGGAAGCGAAAATGGACAATTCAGAGGTTTGGAAGGAATCGGAATTCTCGGAAACGGTGATGTTGTTGTCAGTGATAGGGAAAATCACAGAATACAAATTTTCTAAAGAATATAGACTAGAAAGAAGATTGTTACAATGATGGAATAATATTAATAAACAATCAATTTCGAACATGGTTCAAAGACTTTTCGCGAGTTTCTTTTCAAAATATACCACACTTATAAATTGTGTTAAACAGATAAAATATTTGTACGCCGTTCATGTTTAAGATTAACAATAGATACAATATTTTACAAATATCACTGCAACTTGACTAATCCACATGAATATTCTTTTCCTCAAAGGAAATTATGAATGCCTATGATTTCTATTTTTAGCATAGCATATTTAATAACTTACAAATCCTGACATAAAGATCGTATTGTGAAAAGCTGTCTTTCAGGCGCTTATTTTGGTTGTAAATTTCTACATTTGTGCCAAACATCTGTTCTCTCAGGATGTACAAAGCTCGCGCATGCTCAGATATATTGTTTGAGCAGCACTTATTTCACCTTTGATATGAGTGACATTATTTTTTTTGCTATCTTAAGTGTGTTAAAAAATTGCTATTTTTGTTGTATATATATATTTTTTCATTTGGTTAGTTACTTTGTTTTTCTTTATGATTTCAAGGATAACATGCCATTGGATGATGCATTTACAAGTCGAAATTCTCTATTTTTTATCATTGTTATTGATACATACAATTTTAATATTATCTTATCTTCTGAATAAATTCAGTTGAATTATATCTAGGTAAATGTCCCAATGACCTGTAATTGAAAACTTGAGATAGACTGATGTATTTTAGCAAATTGAAAAAAAAATAAGACACCACCTATAATGTAAGATTTTTAAATTTTAGTGTTATTTTTTTATTTCTTTTTTTTAATGTTATCCTTAACATGCTTAAGGAATGATGTACCAAGTGCCTTTTGTTATGTTTTAGCTTTTAAATTGTAGGATGAATCTAGTCAATTTCAAATCCACTTCTTGTGAAAATATTACATAAATTATTTTTTTTTTATTTCAGCACCTTATTCTGATAAGCGTTGGAATAAAGATGTTAATAAATATTTTATTAAATATATCTCTTGGTATTTATTTGATGTTGTAAATTTTGAATTTATTAACGGCCGTATGGCAGAAATTCAAAATTGTCATGTTGACATAGTTGTCTTGTTGTAAATTTTGAATTAAACAGGTGGCAGAATTACAAATTTTCATGTAAACAAAGTTGTCATTGTAAATTTTGTATTTACAAGAGAGAGAGAGATTCTAAAAACTGTTTTTTTTTGGGAATGAAACAAGTCGTAATTTTTTTTATTTTAATTTATGATAATTTAATTACACGCATCTCGAAAAACCACCGCCCGTCCAATAAAAATAAGACATTCCTCACATTCTGTATGAACGAACTGGTAAACAAAGCCGTCCATTATGTAGTTATTATTTCTCCGGCATAGATTCTGATGTTAGACGCAGAAAATGAAACAGACAAAAAGACAGATAATTAGGTTTGACCTGTAACCTTTTAATCAGGGATTCTTGGCTCGTGCCAACAGATTCCAGAGCCACTTTTCTACGATTGAGTAGCACGTGGCATTTCTGAACATTGTATCTGGTCTGAACGGAAGAATATCTGTTTTGTTTTGACGAAAAAATGTACCTCTTCTATATTTATGTGAAGGTGACCTTAATTCGTAAGAAAATCCACTCGACATTTAAAGAAAAAACTAGAGTTTTAGTGACTACATGCTGATGAATTAACTCCGTAAAGAAAAAATGGCCATGGACCCCTTTTAAACATTAAGTACCCCATCCATATGTTTCTTAAGTTGGTTAAAAGAGTAATAAAATATGAAAGTAATCTATGAGAAGTTTCGACGCTCGCTCTCGATCATTTGCAAACTTTTTCGCCCTTCTTTGTCGAATATTAACTGGTTTATGTATATTTAATAATTCTTAATAAAAAAAAAAAGGTCTCAAATCGCCAATGCCCATCAACTCGATTTTCGTGATTTTTGCATCTTTCTATAATAAATTTAAAAATATTTGTATTTTTGTTGCATTTAAAAACTTTTTTCTTTTAAATTTCAATTTAAATAATGGAGGCATTCACAATTCAAAAACCTTTCATTAAAACACAAATACACAACTTTTAAAGTGCCAAATTCAAAATCGTTCCAGCAGATAATCTTAGATTAAACTTAATTTGTTTTAATCACTTTAACCTATAAATATCATTAATCCTATATTCTATTCATTTGCACTCATATATTGCGCCAGAAATCTAAATTTAATCGGGATATCGCTGTAATACGGCGTATCTTTGGACCATCAGTCTTTCTGTGTTTGGTAGAGTTGTATCATACGAGAACACCAGTTATGGGGCTTCGTGTTCTTTCTTTATGTTTCCTGGTAGTAATTACCACTGTATGTTTGGCTACAAAGGGTAAGTTTAAAAAATATACCCCGGTATATATTATATACAGTGTATATATGTGTGATTTGTATTGTTTGGTCCCCCTCTATCTCAGATCTGATTTTATACCCATTCTTGACAATGGAGAGCTACAAATTACGACCTATACTCGGCACTAACGGTCATGTATTGATCTTTTTGTGCTAGCATAAACTAAAACACTGGACCTCGGTTTTTACGGCCTCGTTTGAAAGAAGGTCTCCACGTCCCACACTAGGATTCGAACCCACGAAGGATCAACTCTTAGACTACAGCAGCCGCTCTACCACTGCGCCAAACAGGCGACTTTTTACGATTAGAATAAAATGGGTTTGTGACACATTGATGACCCCCTATGGCAGCTATGGCGAGGGTTGCATCCTCTCAAATGCATGTCAAACTCCAAAGGTCAAGGTCAAATGTTTTGGTACCCAAAGGAAGGTCTTGTTACAAGGAATACACCTGTGAAATATGAAAGCCCTAGTTCTAATTGTTCAAAAGATATGACCAAGGTTAAAGTTTTTAAAAAGTGGGTCAAGTTTCTCTTAAGTCAAGGTCAAAAATGTTTATACCAGCTGAAAGGTCTTCTTACAATGAATATGTATACACATGCGAAGTATAAAAGCCCTCGCACCAACATTTTAAGAGTTATACTTATAGGCAAGGTTAAAGTGGGGTCTTTTTTTGTAAAAAAGAAAAAAAGATAAAATGCCACGGTGAAGAGTTCAGATTTGGTGGTACCCAAAGAAAAGTCTTGTCACAAGATACATAACTGTGAAATATGAAATTCATAGCCCCTTTAACTCAATAGTTATGGTCTAGGTTAAAGTTGGCAACAGGCAGGCAGAGAAACAGACAAACAAATAAACAGACAGACAGACAGTCAGAGCAAAAATAACATACCCCCGGGATATTTCGATCCGGGGGTATAAAAAGGGGCAAATCTCAATACTGTTTTTATCATTGGCAGGATTTGCTGACGATGGTGAGGACTACAGGAAGAAGAGAGAGGTAGACGGCGAGGATTATTTACACAATAGTGAGGACTTCCTCACAGACGGTGAAAACTACAGAAAGAAACGCGAAGCTGGCGACGAAGAATACTTGAACGATGATGATTCAGAATATAGGAAAAAACGTGCGACTGATGAGGATGATTATCTTGTTCAAGATGACGAAGATTATAGGAGGAAGAGGGATATCAACGGCGAAGATGACATCAGTGATGCTGAAGAAGATTACAGAAAGAAGAGGGCGACTGGCGGAGAAGACTATATTAACGAAGATGACAATGAATACAGAAAGAAGCGCGAGACCGGAAGTGACGAGTACGTGAATGATGACGTATATAACAGGGAAAAACGTGAAATCGAGGGCGACGATTATGTAAGTAATGATGAGAATTATCGAAAGAAGAGGGCTGTTAATGACGAGGATTACGTCACTGTAGGAGGTTATGGCAGGCAGAAGAGAGAATCCAGATGCGCCGTAGCGAGGACACTGCTATCCAAAATTCTCAGAGGGTGTCTATGATAATGACAATGCTATAATTGCATATATATTTCTTGAAAAATAATATTCTTAAGATTAATTTGTTGCTAAGAAATAAAACGCTTTAAAATGATTTTTTTACTCGTTATGATTAGTAGTTTTACATGTATATTTGGGCCAGCAGAAGTACAAGCTGTCCTCTTTTTCCTGGTTCTAATATTTGCTGAAAGCTGACCAGTTGATCCTTCATAGGATGAAAATGTGGAAATAGTACATTGAAATGATAGTTTACATGACTAGGTTTAATATTCCACTCATAATATATTTCATTTGTAATTTGTTACAAAAATTACATCTTACATGTTGTATGCAGAAGTCTTTACATGCATATTTGGAGAGTGAATTTTACACTGTATATTTAGTATTTCTTTCTCCCTCTCACTCTCTCTCTTCTGTTGTTGCACACAGATATCTTGATTACCAGGGATAAGGTGTAAGTAATTTTGCAATGCTAATTACTTCTTTAAATCTCATTATTACCCCAATCCTTGAATACCTCGTTTTGGACTTTAGACACAGATCACAGGATCATTAAACAGCCTTATGTCAAATTTTCATCACCTGTAATTTTTCAAATGATGAATTCATCTCTAGATCTAAATTTATTTATCAGAATACATTTTTGAAGATACAATGGAAAATATAGCAATTTACAGATGTGAAAATTGTTGGAGACTATCACATAGTTACATGTGGGACCACACCCCCTCTTCCTTATCTACAGTCCTAACCAAAAGACTTCATTCCTGATTTACTCCGCTGTATATTTTGGAACTTGAAAAAAAAAAATATTTGTAGCCAGATTTTTGGGACTAGAAAATAATTTGTATCAATTTGGAATTAAATATTTTCCTGATCCTAGTAAAATCATCCAATTTTCAGCAACAATCCATAAGTGGAACAACATTTCTACATGTACTTTTAGTCTTATATCATACTAGGTATACATGGATAGCCACAAAACTCAAACAAAAGAAAAAATAGACTGAAAATGATGTCAATTTTTTATATCAGTATGATGAAAAATACTATTCTGCTAGTGTTTAAAACACATAATTACACGTATACCTATACTGCTTTTCACTATATAAAAGTCAGTCCATATATTTTGCTGATACCATAAAAAACAGTAAAAAGATTTATTCCTTGCAAAAAATGTGTGTCATTTTGATGAACTGATACACATCTATTTGCAACACATAGCAATTTCTTTCAATCAAATAAAATATTCTGATATATGCCAAATAAATTCATGAATATTCATTATACAGCTCAGATTATATTTATACAGGAAAGAGATCACAAATTGTTATTGAGAATTCAACATGAAAATATGTGAGCACTGACAGCCATACATGTGTGAATTAAATGTCTATAAAATTAAAATGAAAAAAAAAATTAGTGGAATATGAATGTTTTTGTTTATCTTGACTTAAATGCAAACATATTTTTTAATGAATTAAATTATTTTATAATTATTTAATCTACATTCTCAGTACTCAATATTTCCATCTGCACCTTAAAATTGCACTGCATGTAAAATAGAATTGCAGTTATGGGTTTTGAAAATAGTCTTTTAGTATCTCACTATCTGAATAATTATATAAAAATAGATCTAGAACAGTTAAAGTAAATCATTGAGGGAGTTGGCAAGTTCTGTCTGAACCTAGGGAAATACTCTGAAATAGACTTGCTTTTAGAAAACTGGAATCTTACTGCCTTCCTATACGACATACTTTAACTGTATAATGTTACTAACAATAACAGTATGATTTTCAAAATGATAAAAGAAGATCATATAATTTTCCACATTTTTTTTTATATAAGGCCAAAACAAAATATAGTCTCGTTTCCTGCTACCCGACCTACCCTTTTTTTTTTGTACCCGACCCTAAAGTTTTTTCAAGTTTTGGGGGAAAAATTGGGAATTTGAGGAATTTCATGTTCAAAAAGTGAAGAAAAAATATAATCAGGTGGTATTTCATGAAACTATGTGTAAAGATGTGATAATATCTAATGTTTAAATATAATGTTGACCTATATGACATGTTTTATTTGGTTTTGTATTAGTTCATATCCTAAAAAAACACTTGAAAAAATAAATTAAAAATATAACCTAATTTTCCTTCCTACCTACCCTATTTTTTTTTCAGGCTGGTAGCAGGAAACAAGACTACTATTTTTTTTTTTGGCCTAAAAAAGGTCTTTGATTTGAGAAAGAATGTCCAGAAATTTACTGAACACACTCGTGCATGTTGTACATGATATTAGTTTAAATCAATACCAAATTGTAAGTTAGGAAGCTTTCATTTAGATAAAATAAGTCTGTATGTTCTTATCAATATATATGTTTTAAACATAATTTTATCATGGTAAATTCAAATAACAGTTTTAAATACAGTAAACAGACTAGCATGTTTGCAAAAAGACATGACGAAAAAATCAGTTTTTAATTCATGGAATTTAATATTCTAAGAGAAATCATTAACAGAATCAACATTAAGACGGTATGAGTTATAAATCTTCCAATAACATTGGCCCAATAGCTCCGTCTCTGAATTGTTTTAACACGAGTCTTGCAGCTGCCAAATAATCTGGGAAATAGTTGTAATCTCTGCTATCCACAGATTTCAATCTTTTGATAAATTTATTTTCCTTCGCAATATGGTTTAAAAAGAATTGAACGTCATCTGTAGGCTCTGATAAATGAAACTGTTCCATGTACCGAAAGTCACTGTGCTTATTGAACCAGAACAGCATGAAATCTACGATTAAATCCTCCCCCACGATGTGGTCCGGTAAGCACCCACACAGCGCTAGCTTCATTCCCTCCTCTACACTCGACACCTGCGGTGTGAGAATTCCAGGTGTGTCGGTCAAGTAAACGGGAGGGTCAAAGTTCGCACGGATCTTTCCTGACAGGGATCTTGTTACCCCGGCTACGGCTCCCACTCGTAAAGGTCTTTTCTTTAATGTTGTATGCGATCGTCTGACATAATTAATAAAAGTTGATTTCCCGACATTTGGAACACCTATCACTGCCATTTCATAGGCCTCCGCTGTCTCTCTGTTAAATCGTGGCGCACTGTGTATTGCCTCAACAACTAGTGGAAATAATTCTTGGTTAATAACTTTTGACTTTTCAGATGTTAAATTGGTAAACAAAACTTTATCGACACCTCCTTCTTTTAATCTATTTACAATGTCCCTCCTTCGACTCATGTCTGCCACATCGCATTTATTAAGAAGAAGAACGTGTGCTTTCATTTTCATCATGTCTTTGAACAAGGGTGTTCGTCCTGAGAATGGAATTCGAGCATCGTGTATTTCCA